TTCCTCCAGATCTGACAGTGAGAGAAGGCCGTCCCCTGGTGCTGGCAACCTGAATTCGACTTCTTCCTAAACTGTGAGAAATTAAATGTCTGTTTATTAAAGCCATCCACTTGTGATGTTTCTGTTATAGCAGCATTAGATAACTAAGGCAAACATCCTACTGAGAATTTGTGTTTCCACCCCAGATATACTGAATCAGAATCTACCTTTAAGCAAGATCCCTTGGTAATTCTTACATGAGTCATATGTGAAACTGGTGGTAATCCATAACCAGCTCTTAACAAAAGGAAGTGTCTATTCTCATCCATTCAGATCTTCTACCTCCTCCCGCTCCTCTCCTTAGGGGCAGATCATTCTTGATCCTGGTTCACTTATGCTAGCTCACTTCTTTGTACTATCACCTTCCTTACTGCTTGAAGAAAATTCTCAGAAATACATTTTTATCATGAAACTGATCAAATGGGACTCTAAGGAAGCTTTGTCCTCCCCTCCTCCCCTGCCCTCAAACACTGCAAAGGCATTTCACTTGTTACTTGACTCTTACAACCAGCATTGCAGTTCTGCCTCCTTTCTTTCTAAATCTGAATTTCTGGAATTCTGTAAGCTGAATTTCTCTCATGGTTCCAATGCTTATGGTCCCTCCATGGATTTTAGCCCATGGTCTGTCGACGCAAACAAGTTTTTCCATTTAGAATCTGTCCTGTGAATGGATTCCCCACTGGGGTGCCATGATCTTGCCTGTGTAGTACTTCTAGTACCCTCAGCAATCCACAGCCTAGATCATTTCAAACTCTGAATTGTAGGCTATTTGCATGGACCATAATCTCACTGAGTTCAGTTTCTTTGGTTATGTGGTGTTGTTGTTGTTGTTATATGCCGTCAAGTTGATTCTGATTCATAGCAACCCTACAGGACCAAGTAGAACTGCCCTGTAGGTCAGTCAGATCTGACTTATAGCGACCCCTCCTTGGGTTTCCGAGGCAGTATCACTATGGAAGTAGATTACTCAACCTTCCTTCTGAGGAGTGG